GGTTTTTTAGTCCTTTGGAGTTGGGTGGGTATAACAAATTTAAATAAATTTCTTTCTCACTAAAAATTACAGCTTGGTATCTGATTTTGGTAGCCTCTAAAGGCTACATTCAAGGTTTTAGGGAGCTACATGCTGTGTTAGGGCTCCAGATGGTGCCCTTCTGTTCTAGATAGTGGAACTGTTGAATAAAAAATGATATTCCACTGGTGGGCAATTTACATTAGTCTATTTTTAACTCCAGTTCTTCCATTTTGCTAATTCAGAGGAAAAAAAAATCTACAGTGATAATGATGCAAGCATTTATATAGGTCAGCTCCCAGAAAACATTGTTCTCAAAGTCAAGGTTTTAATTGACAGTGGACTTTATTTGAAACAGAGAAAGCAACAAAGCTTTCTCAAGATGTACTCAGATATTATAATATCCAAACACCTAAAACTATTATTTTAAAGATAATGCAACCTGACGTATCTTGCATCTACTCCAGTTTTAGGTGTATCCATTAATTGGTTTCCCTGGTTTTATTTATTTTTTTAAAAAGCATTGTATTCGTAACTGATATTGTCTACTGAAAACGTCCTAAATATTTGTTTGATAAAAAGCTGCAACTAATCCTGCATATTCACTGTATCTCCAATGTTTTTTTAAAAAATGCAGTTCTCTTATCTGAGCTTCCAATGATAATAAAGTATGTTAGTGACCTTACATAGGCCACCCACTCTTTTCATAATAAGTAGATTGAACGTGAAACTATATATGGTAGTAAAAATTCTCAGATTACACTCACTACATTTTTTAAAATCTAAATATTGTAGTCCATATACAGTGGAACTGTGGCTTTTGGGGAATTGGGATAAATATTGCTCTTTCTAAAACCTCTAAGAAAACCAGTCTTCTGCCATTTTGTCTGGTTGCTGAAACAATGTTTGTATATACACACATCACTCATATAGGTAACTGAACAAACTATACTCAGACCCCAGCCTGAGAAATCTGTGAATGGGTTTCCTCTATATATAGATCAATACAAGAAGAAAACTAACTCAGCAGGGCTTATCATCTTCCTTTCTTCCTTGGACATCATAAACAAAACCAGAGGCCTTTTTAAATTAAAGAATAACTTGAGGAACTTTCAGAATATGTATTTTCCACTTCTAGTTTGCAATGATGTAATTCTATGATTTCAGAGCCAAATGATGTGCTGACTTTATTGCAGGATATGCAATTAGACCTTATTTTTACATTGGATAAATTTCTGCTAGATCATTTCAGTTACACTGGAGGAAGATTTGTACCTGTTGAGTAAAACTGTAATCAACAACAATAATAAAACAAGGCCATACAGTAAATGTAATATATCAGGAGTGTCTACCGCTTCATTCTTCTGCAAGCATAGACCACACCCTGCCAGAACAAAAGTCTAAGATGTGGTATCTGTCAAGTGAAGGTCTTCTGGAATAATCACATTTGAACAGGGGTACGGACTGATGAAGAGGACTAAATGATAACCTTAGGTTAAAGTGCAGGAACAATGAGAGAGATTTCTGAAAACTGTTAAAGATCACTGTCAGAGGAAGAGAACTGCAGTTCTGTTCTCTCTGGTTGTAGAACAGAGAGCAAAGTTGCGTCAAAGTTTTACATATTCAAATAAATAAATTTACATATTCAAATAAATATATTATACATTCCAAGGAAGTGTACAAGAAAGAAGCTTTAGATTTCTTACAGCAGCCTTACGAATGTGCTGGCCTCCAAGTCAGAGTACAATTCCCTGAATTCTGCCTTGGGAATTTTGTAAGATGTAGTTCCAAGCCATCTGGAAGGCTTGGAAAGGCTCCGATTTGAAGTGTGGGCCGAAATGACCAACCTGCTTTAGAAAACAAAACTCATTCCAAAAGAAAGAGAAGGAATACATTTGGAAAGCAATTCCCGAGATCCATCATTTGCAGCTTGATTTTAAGTATATCGACTTAGAAATTGCTTTGAGTTAGCCTCACTTGCTTCACTTACGGATACTAGAAGGTATCCGCTCAGAAACTTAATGTACGAGTTTATTTGTCGGGAGTCATTATTGTTCGCCTTTCGTTAGCAGAACCGCACCTCAGGATAAGCATGCTACCTTGCCGTCTGGAAAGAGTTAAAAGTCTGGGAGTGTGCTTGGAGTCTAGGTTTGTTTGTCACCAGTTTCTCTCTCGCTCGACAGGTTCTTCCTGCCGCCGCTCTCCGCGCCCGGAATCTAGGCGGGGCTCTCCTTCGAACCTTGCCCGCCGCTTAAAAAGCGCGGCGCTTTCCCACCGCTGCTCCCTGGCGCAAGCCCGGCCCGAGGAAATTGTCCATAAAGGGGAACCCAAAGCCACGCTTCTTGCTTTCTCTCCTCTCCCCCCCGAAGTCTGTCTGCACAAAATGTTCAGGTGCGGCCTGGCCTGCTGGAGGTGCAGATGGCTGCTGCCCCTGCTCTTGGGCTTAGCCATCATCCTCGGCATCATTGCGTTGGCTGGCAAGGGATGGTTGGAGTCGGCCGAAGCCCCGTACGTGCGTAAAGCCTGGTTGTGGTGGGACTGTCAGAAACGAAACCCCGAGGACAGGGCATGGATCTGCGATTCTCTCATGGATTACAGTAAGTCTTGGCGGCAAATGGCGTGCACCATTAACCTCGAGGCTGTTTTCTCAGTCTCTCTTTATTCAGTCGGTGTTTTGAGCGTTGTGGGGCTTACGGTGGTGAAAAGATCAGGATTAATCGGAAAACGTGTCGGGGTCGAAACTTACCAAAGGGCGCACCGGTTTATGTTAAAGGATAAAGGCCTAACTTGGAAAGCAATTATGTATGTGGCCTCATCGTCGCCTTTAAGCAAAGCTAGTGGCCTGGCGAGCCTGAGAAATAGTTAATTAGGAGCAGAAACCAGACTGAGCTACCATCCAAAAGAGAGGCGAATGTAACGCAACCTAGGACAAGGCGCAGAGGAAGATGAAGGGGTAACAGACAGACAATGAGGCCTTCGTTACTTACAGATTGCTCAACTAAGGATTTTAAGGTGCAATAAGATGAACTGCAGTGTCAGTCGAAAATTGAGACTAGTTTGAAGGGCTCACGATAAAACTGGTTGCCACACCCTTTACTCATCAAACTTCTTTAGAAGTATTATTTTGACAAGCTTTGCTCACCAGTGTTTGTTTGCTTTAATGCACAGAAATCGAGTCTCTGATGGTCTTTATTTCTGTTCTTCACCAGAAATACTAACCTTCCGGTCAGAGTTGGAGAAGCAAATAGCCTTTGTGTTTTCAGAGGGGTGGGGGAGCAACTTTGCCCCTGAATGCTGGTTGTAACTTGACACCAAATCAGCCTGTAATCTCTGTTTTGAGACTGAGCTGGAATTGAATTATGGCCAAATAGGGGAAGATCTGCAGTCTTTTGCATGCCTTTTGTAGTTAAAGAAATACATACCCAGAAGTTTTAACACATTACCATGGTAGTCTTTGTGTGATACATTAACAGGTTTCCTCAACTTGGTGCCTCCAGTTATGTTGGGATGGCAATTACCAGCATTTCCAGACAGCGAAGTGTTTTTGGGATCCCAAAACATCTGGAGGGTGCCAATTACAGAAAACTAAGTGTCTGTGAAATAGTGCCCTGAGAACTAATGGAACAACAAAGAATATTGGAGTTGTAGAAGCAGAGGAACTTCGGTGCTGCCAAGCATGTCCTTTAGAGCTGTTTTTTAATCTGTTGGTAGTCACCATTTTTTTTCCTCCTTTAACTGGAGAAGTCAAAATGGTGATTGCATTTGTTCCTTAAGTATATAAAGAACGGCTATAATTTGTGCTCTAAATGTCATGTTTCCCAGATGCAAGCTACTTTGCCATGTATTTCTTAAAATGTAATAGAAATAGTAAACATTCAGTCTAACACTTATCTGTACTTAACTGTTTTGACAAAAAAAAATAGAGAATCAGTTGTTTAAGCAAGACAGAATTCTAATACAAACTACATAAGCTGCTGAGGAGCCTAGCACTTATAGTTCAGTTTACTAAAGGGGAAAAGATACATACTTTTCCCATGTATCCATTGAAAATGGGTTCCTCTAGGGAAGGAGAACAGTCTTGTGGGCTACCACACTGAAGTAGGGGATTTGGGTAGTCATTCTTGGACAGTTCAGTCTACCTCACAGAGTTGTTATGGAGATAAAATGGAGAGAGACCTCTACACAAGCCAGCTTGAACTCCTGGTAGAAAGCTGAGATACGAATATTATTTTTATGGCACATATTGTGCTATGAGTCAGAGATGATAGTAATTTAGTGAGGAGTGTCTAAAATTCTGGAATGAATCCAAGTGTTCCTTTTATCCCTTCCCAAACAAGTGATCAGCTGGATAGAACTTTGCTAGAATCAAATTTGGCTTATTTGAAATCATGTTAAGCAAAATAAAACACAGTGGTTTTGATGTAAAGATCTGTGCACAAAAAGATGTGTTTGAGGCCAGAAGTAGTCTGATTGTGTACAAGTTGTATATGTTTGGGCTCTCTAAATATAATTAGCTATTAAATATGGATAACATTGGCTTGCAAATAAAATAGGAAAATCTAGAAGCAAGAGGCTCAGTGGTTCAATTTGGGAGCATAAAAATAAAATCAAGAGTATTTACAACTTGTGAACAGGGGAAATATTTAAAATAGACTTATTTATTTGAATTTAGACTTCTGTGAGGGAAGCCAAACTGCTGTTTCAGATGTGCAAATTTTCTAAAGATGCAGTGCTTAAACTCTGGCCTTTCTTACATCACTTTTTTGTATATGTGTTTTGTAAATATCTAGATAGAAGGGTGATATGCTCAACGTACACTGGGAATGGAATGAACATTAAAGCTTTGTATTATTATAGGTGTTTGCTGCATGCAGGCTAATCACACAAGCTAAGATTAACGTGTCACAGTAAATCAATTGGTTTGTAAGATTATTGCAAAACTTCAGCATATACCTGAATGAAAAACTTGCTATCAATTTATACCATGCTTTGTTTTTAAAAAAGGTAAAAAATATAGTGCACAAAAGGATTACTCAATATATAAAATGATGTTACTCAGATTAAGGTGCACATAATTCACACTTTGCTTTTATTCCACCCTTTTATTTAAAAGGAAACTAACTTGGGGAAAGATTACTTGCTAATGCAGACCGACATTGGGCACAGATTCTTATTCAAGATTATACTTGTTAAGTATTAAAGTTGCACAGAGTGAAAAGAGCCACTCCCTATATATTGGGGAGAAAGGAATTCTCTGTTTGGAATGATAATTAAATTGCAGAGTTAGTAATTCAGATTTGTTTCAAGATTAAACTAGATGTGACATGGTGTCATATGTATCTTCTCTCTCTCTCTCTTTTTTTGCATTGATGAATAGCCTCCCCCCCCCCCCCCCGCTGTTTGTTACAAAAATTGGGGTGAAGGAAGATGAATTAGACAAGGGATAAAGCTTCATTTTTTTCTACTCTGGCTATTTCATCTCTAGATAGAAAATAGAAAACTAATAATTTTTTTCCTGTAGAATGAAAGGGATATGGATTAGTAGTGTATCCCATTTCATTACTTAGCACTTTTCCAGGCATAAGATAGGCAGAGAAAGGCATGCTTATTCATATGCCCTCCTACCTCTTTGCTCTCCCACACTTTTTGGGAATGTTACCCAGTCCTCTAGAGCAGATTTTTTAGAAAACTGAAAATTTATGGCCCTTACATGGCTTTTCCCTCGAACACTATTTGTTGCAAACAAAATCTCTTCTTCCATCTTTTAAGAAGTTGTCAAGAATTTCATCAACAGTACTAATTGTTAATTACTTTTTAAAATGTTCAAATATCAGAGAGCTATTAGAACAATAGCTATTAGCAACACAACTGAAATCCAGTATAAAAAGGTGTCTCTCATCAGCAAAGACAGTTTATAAAATGAAATTGTAATTAACAGTTGCCTGACTTTTATAGGAGAGATGTTATCAAACTTTTCTAATCACATGTTCAAATCAAAGTGTGGCCTGTATAATCAGATCTTGCTGTATATTTTACCTTTAAAAAATTATTTGTTAGAGTTATCATTGCTGTAAATGTTTTGATGATTCCTCAGCCAACAACCATAGATAGGGAATTAGGAGTAAACTATGGGATCTCTCCCTTCCTCTATTACTGTATGCTTTTTCTTCCTCTTTCCATACTGGATAATACTATCTTTAATTTTAATTCTGAATTTAAAAACTGCTTTTTAAAATTAACTCTCATTTTATAGCAAACCAGGTTAATATTAGTCATGGTGCAAGACTGCAATTGTCCCAGATGATTTTTTTTATTGTGCAACAACTACTGGACCATTAGATGACAATGGAGTTAAATATAATTAAAAGAGGATAAATTGTATCATTTTCACTGTAGAAAATGTAGGGTAATATATGACAAAACTAACATTTTCAGTAGGAGATTTGGGAATTACAATAAATAGAGATGACAACAGATTAAATTCTAGACTATTAGCAAACTGAGAAAAAGCATACTTGATTTAAAGAAATCAGATATGAAGTGATCTGAGAAAATATTAAGATTGGCCCCTCAAGGAATGAAAATTAGCAAGTGTGGCACCAAAAATGGGGCGGGGGGTAATGACACCAAGATAATTAAGTGATTAAAGCATTGAACTTAAGATCCAATGGATGCATGATCACGTGGGATCGAACCCCACTCTGGGACAGAGTAAATACTTTTGGACACTATATTACAAAAAGGATAGTGACAATTTTTATTTTTCATAATAGAAGATTGTAAGCAGTGGCTTCATCTAATGATCTATAGTCAGATGAATATTCTGACTTATTCATAAATGTTCTGGAAGTGACCAAGTTGTCTGAGGCTCAAGAAGAGAAAAACTAAAAAGCTCCAAAATAATGCCTTCAAATCTGGAAGGTGAGCAAATGTAATTTAGTGTAAAGTAATATATATATGGAAGATTTAAAAATCTTACATTTATGTATATACTAATTGGGTGTAAACAAGTGATCCACTGACTAAGAGGGAGTTTGGGATTATGATGGGTGAAAATGTTGACCAAGTGGGGGTCTTCTCTAATGTGAGAAATCTTCTGATGTGAAGATTTCTGAGATATCCTAAATTCTCTGCTGTAGCCAAGGGGGCTGGGAAATTCTTGGTGTTGAAGCCCACATACCTGGAAGATGACGAGGTTATGATTGCTGTAGAATAGTGATGACAAACCTATTGGGCTCAGCGTGTCAAAAATTCAGAAAATTCCTAACTTGACTCTGCTGGCGTGTCACCCCCTGAAAAAAAGAGACCCCCCCCCGAACAAAAGAGAAACAATTCTTTACATATTCACTTATTGTAAAAAAAATACAGTCCAGTAATGCGTGGTGCTATGTAATATATAAAGAAATGTCAAATCATTACCAAAGTGAAATACGAGTAAAACACAGTCAGTTTCTTTGGTAACTCAAACAGGGAGAATAGTTGTTGGGTGTTGGTGAACACTGGCATGTCACCCAAAATGTTGTGGCGCATCAACTTTGACACTGTCAGGTTCGCCATCACTGCTATAGAAAATAAAATCCATACAGGTAGTCCTTGAGTTATGATCATTTGCTTAGTGACCATTCAGAGTTACAGTGGTGCTGAAAAAAGTGACTTACGACTGGTCCTCGCAGTTACAACCGTCGCAGCTTCCCCACAATAACATGATCAAAATTCAGGTGCTTGGCAACCAGCATGTATTTGGGATGGTTGCATGTCCCAGGGTCACATGATTGCCATTTGTGACCTTCCCAGCTGGCTTCCGACAAGCAAAATCAATGGGGAACCACATGATTCACTTAATGATTGTGTGATTCAATTAACAACCACTGCAAAAGTTGTAAAATCGGATGTGGTCACGTGATGCCTCACTTAATGACCACACTGCTTAACAACAAATTTTCCAGTTGATATTGCGGTCATAAATCAAGAACTACCTGTCTTGGGAATTGTAGGGGAAAGAACTAAAAATAACATTTTATTGCATTTACACTAATCAGAAGTGTCACTTAGAGCTGTAATAGTAAAGTTTGATTCGCTGTCTCGCTGATGAAACTGTGTTTGGAATATTGCATATGGTGCTGCATGAACACCATTTCTAAAAAGGTACTGAGATAGAAGACTAGGTCCTAAGCATTAAAGTTATTTGCTTGTTTTGTAAACTTATCCAAGTGTAGCTTAATCCGTAAACTACAGTTAAGCAAGCCATGGCTTGGCATTAGATCACAGAAAAAACAAAAGCAATAAGGGCAGAAGCATATGTTTAGGTGAGAAGGACACACTGTTTAGGTTCTTTAATTTAGAAAAAGCCTCATTGGAAAGAGAAGTTAGAGACACATGAAGCTAAACTATAGTAGTATGGTTAAGGTGCTGGACTTGGACCAGGGAGGTCCAGTCTCACTCCCCGTCTGACCACATAGATTACTGAGTGAGACTGTATTGGACTTTCTCCCTCACCCCAGCCTAGCTTGTTTTAGGGATGAAATGAGGGGGAATAGATACCACCATCTATCTGTGGTGCCTTGAACGGTGAGATTTTCCTGCTCCTAATTCCATCCTTATTTAGAAGGGGATGGTGCTGATAGCGAAGGGGAACTTGAAAAAAAAAATTAAAGAGTAATCTCAAGGTGGCAGGAGGATATATGTGGATCATAGGTTGCATGTGTCTGATTCATTGTTAGAAGGAAACAAGCCCTAGGTTTGCACACTCATCATCTCCCCATTGTTCAGAAGCTTAGGCTTCTGTTTTCACATATAAACTAACAGCAATCTCTTGTGATTTCAAAGCCCAGAGAAACTTTGATTATTTTTAACTATGGTTAGGGAAAACAAGCCAAATTCATGGCATAGTTAGGAAGTTAGTTTTTTTTTGTCAGCAGTCATACATTAAAAACAGTTTTAGCATTGGCTATAATACAAAATTATGGTTAATCTAAGATAGATGTGGAATTGTCAGATTACCTTTTGATCTGCGCTGAGAAGGGAAGCATAAAATATCCATGATGTGCCATGCTTATTGTCTTAATAAGGCTACCTACTTCATTGATGGATTTCAGCTGTACATTTTGTAATTCCTTCCCCTTCTTTCATCCTTTTGCCTTCTAGTCAAGGCAAGGCTTTTCTGCTAATTTATCAGCAAGCAGATTTTTTTTTTTTCTGGCCTGGAGCATTACTTATAAAAGAGAGCTAATTTTTTTTTACATTGTTTCTTCTTCTCTTCTCTTCTCTTCTCTTCTCTTCTCTTCTCTTCTCTTCTCTTCTCTTCTCTTCTCTTCTCTTCTGCTATTTATTGTTGCTTTTTAAAAAATACATAAAGCACAGATTTTATACATTATTTTTACTGCTATATATACATATGCAGCACCAAACAGTTTATGCAGAAAAGGTTTGTAGAAAGCAAAGTTGTGTACAAAGATACATTAGGAAAATGCATATAAAATGTCTAAGACTTTTCAGGTGAACTTAAAAAAAAACAGGATAAACTGGTTTGAAGACTGGAGGAAAATGAAAAAGTGAACTTGACAAATGTATTCATTTGTAGAAAAGAGTAAGAACTTTGCTTCAGACTTTAGAAAAACACGTCTATTTTGAAACTGATGATTCAGAATTAAGAATCTGATGAATTTGAGTATCTGTATATTCCAAACAAGAGCAGGCTGTAGACAGTAAGAATTCCAGTAAGGTCACCGTAAGTTTATCCCAAAGTGTAAAAATAAAACATAGACACTTTTTACATATTTTCAAAATATTGTTTAAATTTGTGAGTACCATTGTCCTCAAGGATTGAATGAAGAAAACATATCTTGCTGAACAATTGGAAAAAAATATTGCCTAACAGCCTTAGACTGCTTTTTCTTTATCCAGGTATTTTGGATAAAATTATAATTAAAAATTCAAATTCATTCTCTCCCTCTCCCTCTCACACACACAGACACACATACACGGGAGATCCCTGATGCCATTTTCTGGGATGGAGATAACCTTGATGAAAATATGCAGGAGCCATTCAAGGAAAATAAGAGACAACTGAGTTCTGGGAAGGAAGGGGGGTGAGAAAGAAACTCAGAAGAACCTTGCCTTGTTTCTGTTTGGCATAAGAGGGAGCAGAGGGAAACCCTGGCAAGCTTTCAAGATTGCTATTATATTCTACAGTGATAAAGTAGCATTCCTGTAATCCTTGTGTTGTTTCCTGACCTGGCCTGCTTCAAAGGGCTGACACTGAAGACATGTGATTGGATGAATATTGGATGTCCGGTGCTTAGTTTAGTAGAAAATAATAATCAAATTCAGGTATACTTGTTATGAAAACTGTTGATTCTCCATAGGAATTTGCAGTTGTGTCAGTTGAAAAGAAGCATCACAATATTTAATAAAGAGATAATGCCTTTAACAATACAAGCAATTTCTGTTCAATCCCTTTAACCAACATTTTTCTAAGCTTACATTTAACTAATGCGAAATGTGTATATTTACATACAAGGTGTTTATGTTTCTCATCCCTTATTTTTTTCTTCAAAGGTTGGGGCAGAGCTGCTGCTGCTACATACCTTGTCGGTTTTATCATTGTCTGCATCTGTTTCTGCTTAGCAGTCATAGCATTTTCCATTGAAATACTGCGGTTTAACTTTGTTCGAGGAATTGGAGGCTTGCTCTTCATTGCTGGTAAGCCTGTAAATAAGACACTGATTTTCTGACCAATTATAATTGATGTGACTTTCCTGAAATATGCTTCTCTCTAGGATATGACAAAAATGAGTCATGCCAAGTCTTAATTTCTTATTCAGCTTTCTCCTCCTCTGGCACAACGTTTCTTAGATTTCATATTGGCAACAATTAATTTTCTGTCCAGACTCAAATATATTGTATTGTAGTCAGCTTTCTTAATTGAAGCTGGCCAACATCAAGCCATCTTTTAGTTTCTAATTAGCCTTCCCCAGTTTATTCTTTAATAGGCAAATGTCTTCATTTTTGGAGGAATCTTTATGTATTTTAGAATATTATTGTTGGGATGTTTTATTAAAGATGCATCACATGAACTTTTGATTGCATAAATTTGCAAAAATATATTTATTGCATAAATATATTCCCTTATATATTGTGGACATAATATGTCTTAATCTCTTCAAAACATTTGATAAAAAAGCTCCTAGGATTCTATGTAGCAAGTTAGTTGTGGTTGAACCACAGCTTGCTTTGAGAATCATTTATAAAAAGTATGACTTCATACATTGTGCTAAGCTCTAATGTGCTTTCTTTGGTTTGGGTTTATTGTCTTGCATGAATTTATGATTTGTGAAGCATAGTTTATGGATTAATGTGTTGTGAAACATTAGCCAATCATGATTTATTCAAAAACCATGGTTATCCAACCAAGGCTTAGTGAGTGCAGAAACTCAACTAGAGCCTTCATTTGTATCTCACCCCCTTCAGTATTTTTATTAATGATTTGGATGAGGAGGTGGAAGGAATGCTTTCCAGATTTGCTGAAGACAGAATTAGGCATGACTACTAGTATCCTTAAAGATGGAAGCACAAATCAAAATTACTTTAATAAGTTAAGACAAGTTGAGCAGCTTCTGAGAGTTGGAAGTTGTAACTCAGCCTTCAGGTTTCTGGAAGGCTTCAGGAGACCATCCATAGTGATACCAGTGGAAGAGGGTAGTCAGATTTCTGTCTTATTTTGGCATGTACCAAAATAAGACCATTTGGGACCATTAAGAGTGGGAATGGGAGTGGCAAAACACTGCTATTCCCACACTTCACCCTCCCTCCACATGCACAATTGTGCTGCACAGTCTTGAAATACTGGTTATTCTCTGTGGCCATGGATTGCCTACCCCTGGGGTAGAAACAGCAGTTGGAAATAACAGAATAAATTGAGCAGAGGCAAATGCAAAGTTAGTCACTTGAGAAAAAGAAATCAGATGTGCAAATGTTGGATAGTGGAAACCTGGTTTAATAATTTTGTATGCAAAAATTGGAATTGTAGTTGATTGTGCTGAATATGCATGGCTGCAAATAGTGGTTTGCAAATATGGTTTTAGGTTGCATCAATGGAAGCATAGTTTCCAAATCATGGGAAATATGAGTTCCATTCTATTCTGTGTTAGTCATAACCTATCTTGAATACCTGGCACCATGTTTGAAAAAGATTCAGATAAATTGTAATGGTTTCCAAGAAGGCCAACATGTTTATAGAACTGAAAACTTATTTTCTGTGAGAAGACACATAGAAGACTAAATATGTTAAGCTTTGCAACAACAACAACAGAAAACCCCCAACTATATTGAGAAGGTTTGATAGCAATCCTCAAGTGTCTGAAGGAATTTCACACCATGATTTCTGTTACCCCAAAGTACAAGATATTTAATAATGCTCTGAAGTTACAGGAGGGCAGGTTCCAATGGAATGTTAGGGAAAACTTCTTAAAAGAAGTAGTTTGACAGTGGAATCAGTTGTGCTGGGTTCTTGCTTTGACAAGGGAATTTGCATAGTGGCTCCTAATTCTGTGATAACTTACCTGTGTGAAACAGATGTAAACATCGCATTAATATCCATTTGTCTGATCATTACATACATGTATAGTGATGCTTCACACATCTTGTGTGATAGATACTTTCCATGTTTAAGTTTTGTATACTCTAAATAATTTTTGAAAGAGTAATTATCAATAATTTTTATGTTGATAGGAAATGAAGTTACTAATATGAAACTTTTCCAAGTCTCTGGAAAAGAGACTTGGAAAACCTGTATTTATTGCTAAGACCAATTTATTGGTCTTACCAATTACTAAGACCAATTTATTGGTCTTACCAATAATTACAGAAGTAATTAATTGAACAGTAGCACACAGAATTCAGCCATCTCTCTTATACTGGAAGATTCCCCCTAGATTATATTCCAGCAATCTCAACCCCATTTTGTGAGATACCACACAAGAAAAAATGCTGAAACTTTTAAGAGATGTAATTAGAAAATGTTATACCTATCTATATAAATGATTATGGGTATGACAGATACTCTTGTGTCTTGAGTGCTATATTAACAATTCCTTTATTTATTCAGTCAATCAATTTGTAAAACCACTAATCTCAACAAGTGACTCTGGGTGGCAAACGTATTAAATAAAAAATAAAAATTAACAATCATAAATGCAACAATTAAAATGCATAGCAGCTGAGGAAATAACCCAGTCAACAAACGCTAATACAGCCAGGAGATGGGTCCCTGCACACACTTGGGGCTCCAGGCCCAGGCACAGAAGCAGGTCTTTAGGACCTTACGAAAGGCCAGCAGGGTTGGGGCCATCTTAATCTCTTGTAATGGAAATGCAATTTGCTGCAAATATCTCTGCACTATGAAATTTTATTTAATGTTTTTTTCCTTCCTCCTTATTTCCATCCAGCTGCTTTCCAGATTTTAGGCTTGGTCATCTATCCAGTGAAATACACCGAAGATATTATATTGACAGGAAGCAACATGTTCAGTTGGGCTTATGGCTTTGGTTGGGCAAGTACAGTGATTGTGATAGGTTGTGCATTCTTTTTCTGCTGTCTTCCAAACTGGGAAGATGAAGTCCTGGGCAACATAAAACCCTACAGGCATGATGCCATATAACCTGCTTGATGTGGACTTAACAGAACATATTTTTAGGAAATAAAGCGATATTGTCTCTGACATAGGGTTATTTGTTTGTTTCAATAACAAATGCAGTTTATTTTTAGACATCCCTATTTACAGACCTATTTTATTAAAAAAAAGATTGCATTCTGAATTTTGATAACTAATAACAATTCCCTTCAGGAATTAATTGGTTTTTGTGGGGGACAGAAGCTTTGGTGAGGTGATTTGTTCCAAGATAGTAATATTTTACTGAGTAAATACACAGTATAACAGGAATTTTTTTTTTTTAATTGTTGGACAATTATAAGCTTTTGTTTTTTAGCCTGTAGTTAAAAATCCTTATTCACTATGTATTAATAAAAAAAAATGTTTGAAAGTGTAGCTATTTATACATTCAGTATGCAATCTTCTAAGCACTGGATTCTATTAAAATTTTATTATTTTACTGGCATTTCTGCTACAGCCATGCTTCATAGCTTACTTGATACTACAAGAATGAACATTATAGTATTTTGTATGTGCAGGTATCACACGTTAATGAATTTGCATGACAGCCCCCCCCCCCAATTATTGGATGCTTCTAGACTAGGTTAAGAATACAGTAACTGCTCCATTCAAATAATTAGTATAGGATAATTAGATAGCCATTTTGTGTTTCTTCTGGTTCCCCCACCCTGTTATTAAAAAAAACTCTTGGGAGAGAAAGCATAAATGCTTAATGCTATTGGTAGTACTGCCAAGACTCTAACATCTGAATTTACCTGCATACTCTAAACACTAATATATTGAATATGTCTCATAAATTGAAATTAGGGAGAAACTAAAACTTTAGAATTATACTTTGAATTTCCCTTTTCCCCAATATCTGATATTACAAGTTTATTCTCAGTATATGGATTTAAAGCAAAAAACCAAAAACCCAGGTAACTATTAGATTCCCAAACTTATTAGACAACAAAAGAATTGGCATGTCGGATAGCTGCAATTAGAAAGTCCTCTGGTGCCAATTTCATCCCATTTTATCATCACACCCCATACACATATCTAGGATTCAAATGGCATTGAATCAAAGGATGGATTAGGATAGCCCCAGTGAGTGGTTGATTTTTCAAAAGGGTTGAATACCATTTATAAGGTTCTTTTACAAGGCAGTTAAACTTTTGGATAAGATTCTGCAGGATTAGTTACTCACTAGTGGAATAATAATGTAGACTGATCTTTCCAAATTCAAGCATATTTACAATGTAATTCACAGGTAGGCAATGTGGTCCCTATGGGCACAGCGTACCTGAGGACATCTCCAGTGGGGCTAGTCAGGCTTCTGCAGCACTGGACTTTATTTTTTAATTAAAATATATGGAATACCTGCATGCTGCAAAACAAGTGCCAGTCCATGACATATTTATTTACAAGAATGCCTCTGGATCTCATGTACAGCCCCCACAACGTTGTTCCCAAATAAAAGCGGTACTCGGGCATAAGCGTAGCACTTTGTCTGTCTGCCTAGGAGAAGAAAGACAGTGATAAATTGCAGTGGTACAAAGCATTGGTGGAATGAGCTAAAGGGGAATAACACATCACTTTGCCTTTTTAAAGGATTTCTGTGATTCGCTGCCTACCTGCCAACACACTGTGGCAGCCATTGTGTAAACAGATACACATTTGGCAGTCAGATTGTCCGAATGCCTACAGCAGGGGTTGGGAACCTTTTTGTCTGAGAGAGCCATGAACGCCACATATTTTAAAATGTAATTCTGTGAGAGCCATACAATATGATGAGGACTCACCCAACAGAGCAGGGGCAGCGGCAGCAGGATGCAAAGTGGTGCACCCGGATCGCATTCGCGTGGGCCGCCGACGGGAGCTAGGCCAAAGCTGGGGCCTCAATTTGTGCCTGCCTGTGGAGGACGATGCGGCTCCAGGCCCGTTCGGCCGCGGATGCTGCGGGGCAAGGTAGGGTGAGTCCCAAGGATGCCAGATGCGGATGCGATGCGGAGGAGGGTGTGGCCTGTGCTCAGCGGATAGAAGACGTGTTCTAATCCTTACCCCGTTATTTTTTTTATTAAAGAGCCATCAAAAGAGCCTCATCTGGCTCGCGAGCCATAGGTTCCCGACCCCTGGCCTACAGTATGCTTTCAAAATGCCAACTCTGCCCGTCAGTCCTGACATAATTCTATGGATTAGCAACAGAACCCAGAGTTCAGTAAGAGTTAATCCTAAATAAACATAGAGAAGATTCCAGAGAATTAAATTTCATTAATCTCAATAAGAAAGTTAAGCAGTCACTCAAAATATTATCATGGGTGGAATCCATGGTTAGAATATGTGAAAACTAAGATAACTTTAACATCATTAAATCCATTATTAACCTGACAGCCCTCTGAATGTATGTTACTTACAAAATATATGGTATATAAACTTTTTTTTTTACCTTCTGGTAGAAGCTTATTTTGTATTTGCAGAAATATTGTATATTCCAGTGTATAATTTCAGATATGACTGTTTTGTATGTTTACAATTATTGTTCTCAGAAGTAATCCACCCACTGTTGCATGAGTTAATTAATAAAAATTGCTTAAGGTACATAAGAAATTCTCATGTGAATCCACATTGTGTAAAGTTACCTTGTATTTTATACTATATTGGATTGTGATAGAACATAGGGTTTTTTTTACAAGAAATATGAAATACTTATGTGTTCTGTAAATGTTGTAATCTACAATTGAAGACAGAATTCTTCCATCCACTTTATGGGAGTAAGCCCATTGCCTTCAATAGAATTTGCTTTTTCTGGATAAACATTAGGGCTGTGTTTTGGCAACAACAAGAAGTTTTTAAAGAGACTAATAGAATAAAAATTAGTGTCACTAATTTAATAAGGGTCTTTAATTCATACAGATGAAATTTCTTAAGCTCACATTTACTTGCATCATCAGATGATAGCTGAAGGCAGAGTCTAGCTCTTGCTAATATTCTGTCAGTAAGAAATCATCAGCACACATCACTTCAAAGGACCATATTTAGATTTGCCTGGACTGAGTTATACCACTGTTCCAAGCCAAAGATTCTTGAGTGTTCACATACGTTCTAGCATTTGGAGTCATATATTTAAATAGATATTTGAATTCTATGTGTTTCATCTTTATAATAAAAGTTTATAGATACATTATATTGAGAATATGCTTGTGAAAACTTGTAATCAGTTTGGAGCATTTGCTCTGCAAGCTCAGTGAAATGAAAGGTGAGTTGGATGTAAATGCAACATACTTCAGATATGAAACATTGCAGCTGTCTTACATAAAACAAGGATTTCAACTGAATGAATACATGCATGCTGTTGAGAATGCTGTTGTGCTATTTACCATCCAGAATGAAGATGCATGAAAAAGCATATATAGAAAAACTATATGGCAAATACTGCCATTTTCAATACTGCTTTAATGGATTTCTGCACTGATCAGGGGTTTAGATTTATTGGCCTTTCCAGTACTGTGATGCTATATGAGTTGAGCATATATGGAGGTTCTCTTAACAGTCCAAAGTTCACTGTTTCCAATTAGAGTTCCTAAAATGATAGTCTGTACCCTCAAATCCTCTCAGAGTACTATTCAGTCCTCTGTCTCTTAATCAGAATATCTCCCATGGAAAACCTTATAGCTACACTGGAAAGAGTCATCCAATTCAGCCATTGATGATAACACACTAATCTCCAAATGTAACAGAATTCATTAGGTCAGAGTTGCTGGGAGTTGGGTGGCATATAAATTTAATAATTATTATTCATCCAATTTGACCCATTTTAGCTATTTTCCTTACAATTTCAGAAGTACATACTTGGGAAAGAGACTTCTTGGTTATCCTAAAGTCTTCTGAGCTTTATATATACCACTACAGATAATCTATCTGGACTATTGTGAAATGCTACACTGAATAACATCTGGATGGTTTTATTGGGTTATTTCCAGCTTCCAGAGCCATGGTTCAGTCGCCAGAACTATGCCTTACAGTCTAAGACTCACATCCTAGGCTATTTGAAATGGGACCAGATAGATTATCTGTAGTGGTATATATAAAGCTCAGAAGACTTTAGGATAACCAAGAAGTCTCTTTCCCAAGTATGTACTTCTGAAATTGTAAGGAAAATAGCTAAAATGGGTCAAATTGGATGAATAATAA